TCTCACCACAAGTGGTAAGCAGGTCTGCTGTCAATTATAGTTTCTGTTGGTGGTATTCTAGAGGTGGTATGTGATAAATTATAGTGTTGCAGGATTCTCAAAGAAAAACTAATTTTTGTCTCTTTTTGCACTATACTTCTACTGGTGGATGACCATTGAAAAACTCGGCTTTTATTAAATTCACAACACACTTCTTGCTTTCAACTTTAGATTACATTAACTACCAAAGTTGTTTTCTAAGTATTGTAAATGTTGAGACGAAATAGTAAAATAGTAATGGTTTATTTTTTATTAGCAATGATATTACTCTGAATAAAATATTTTTTATAAGCAACTAGAGGTACAATTTTTCAAAGGATTTCCACTGGTAGAGGTGAAGTGTAAAAAGTGACCAAAAACATTGGTACAGTTTTTCAAAGGATTTCCACTGGTAGAGGTGAAGTGTAAAAAGTGACCAAAAACAGTTTTTCTTTACAAAGTCCAGCAAAATTGTACCAAAAATAGGATCAATATATATGTACACATGTCAATAATCTCAATACCCCCATCAAGTTGAAGAGTGATGATCTCGAATGCCCAACTTGCAAAGAAGGACCTCAAATTGCACTTTCCCATGGCCTTGGTAAAAATGTCCACTAATTGTACCGATGTGGGAACATACATAAGTACTCAACAAATCGTTGATAGTTGAACATGTTCCTGCACAGTTTCAAATTGAAGATATTCTCTATAAATAACAATAGCCTCCACTAGTGGAAGTTAGACCAAAATATGCAATAAATAACAATAAACTCGACTAGTGGAAGTTAGAGTTAGACCAAAATATGCAATATATAACAATAACCTCCACCAATGGAAGTTAGAGACAAATATGCAATATATGCAATATAATGTGTAAAATAAATGATATATTTATTTGAAAGTGTAAAATGAAGGAATTGGCATTGTGCCCCAGTGGTTAGGACACTGATTTAATGTGAAACTTTGAATGTACAAGGTCTGGGTTTCAAATCCCCCTCGCCCCCAGACCTTTTATTTTATTTTTTAAAACTTTATATATATAAGGGATTTGCCTGTTTTTTAAATGAATTGGCATTGCGCCCCAGTGGTTAATGCACTGGTTTTATCTTCAACCTTCAATGTACAAGGTCTGGGGTTCGAATCCCCCTCGCCCCAGACCTTTTATTTTACTTTTTTTAACCTAAGTAAAATGGCAACCTTTTATTTTTATTTTTTTAACCTGTGGCTCGGTGCATTTCATTCATATCTCGCACAAAGATTTTTTGGAGAGGATGTGGCAACCTTTTATTTTTATTTTTTTAACCTGTGGCTTGGTGTATTTCATTCATATCTCGCACAGAGCTTTTTTGGAGAGGATAACAGATTGGAAAGGAAGCGGCGCAACAAGCAAGCTCTGACACATCCATGGAAAATTGGAGCAACTTATTATTCCATCCAATCACAATAAAAGGGAAGGTAAAGAATTTATTAGGTCTAGCATTTTCTCATTCATTTCTTCTACTTAATACTGATATTGATTTATTTTGAGGTACTCTTAAACTCAAGAACTATGGTAAAAGAAGAATCAGTAGCTTCAAACACAACTTCAAAAAGCCAAACCCGAACCAATTGCGAGACAAGAAAGTTCTCTTTTTAGTTTCCTTTTTCTTCAGTTTGTTCTCTTATTCTTTAACTTTCATATCATAATTTCTTGGTGGTAGTTCTAATTCCGACACCGAAGCATCAGAATCTTGTAATATTCAATTTGCGAAACGTAGAAAGGTTGATTTCAATCTCTTTAAATAGGCAACTCAGAGGTGTATATCAATAGCAGAAAATATCAGATATTAACAAAAAAAATAGACATTAACTATTACCTCAAAAACTGGAGCACACCCGTTAAATGAAGTTTGTTTATGTGATCGATTCATGGCATCCTTAAGTTTACCAAAAGATAGGTAAAGGTTATCACAAATTGCTTTTGCCCAATTAACTTTTTCAAATGCATCTAAATCTTCCACCATTTCCTAAAATGATTTACGGGGTCTCCTGTAGTCCGGGGAACTTATGAAAAATAGCTCTATCAAGTAAAAAGAAAGTAGTTTCCTAAAATTACATTTACTCTCCTCCTCATTGACATCAATTTCACATAAAAGTTTTTTTATTTGTGCTGTTTGGATTTTCTCAAAACTACCTAAATTAAATTTTGTCATCAGATCATAAACAAATTTAGGTAGTTCCTTCGCAGCAGGGGCGGAGAAATCAACACCGGTATTTTTAATGGCAATGACTTTTTCCACTTCTTCAGCATAAAATGAAAATGATACTTTGTTAAATACAAACTTTTTATGTACCGGTTGGTACATATCCCAGAAAAGTTTGATTAAGGGTGCTGAGCTCTCTTTATCATTTTTAATGTTTACAAAATTGTAAAACATTGAGTTTCACATTAATTCTTTTTTTTCCCAGCTCAGATTAAGTTTCACATAAGTTTTCAAGGAGGCCCCAAGTTTAACAGGTTGTCGGTTTTCTTCTTCTCCATCCTAGAAAATAAAATCCAAGAAATACGTTAAGTAACACAATTCCTAAACTTGTTCATCAAAATTATATCAAGAAAAATACATTTAGCAAATGACCATTCAAGTGTTGTAGATGCAAAATTTGAGTCTAAACCAATCAGCTAGGTGATATATGTAAAGAGACTAGGTGATCCAAACCAATCAGCTAAGATAGGAAGCTTCAAAGAACAGAAGAGGAAATGGAGTTATCCACATGATAGAAGTTAATTAAGAAGTGTAGTTGACAGAAATGAAAATGAATAGGTGCTGAATTGCTATTCTTGTAGTGATGCAGGAAAAGTTAGTAAGAAATTTTAATGCAGTAACAAACAAACAAATAAATACGAGAAGTATTGATTATTATTGATATCAATTGAAGGGAAATTACAGAGGTAAGAGTTTCCTACTGGCACAGGGCCAATTCCCTATAGAGCGCTTGCTCTCCATTCTAACAAACTCCGAGAGAAATCCCAAATGATCGGGAAGTTTGCATCATTACTCTATTTATTACAATTTTACTCGTAACAGAAACGATACTCTCTTTTCTAGAACTGCCACCTCACCTCGGCTAAGGACTCACTCCCCACTCGATACGTCGTGTTTTCCTAATATCATCATGAGGCTTGATGAGTTGGTGTGTGAAAATATGAACAAACAATGGAGAACTAATAAAGAAATGGAAGAAAACTTCAGTGGAATTAATTGGAGAATCAATTGCAAGAGTAAGAAAATGGATAATAACAAAATAACAAACTGATAGTGACAGTCACTACCAGCCCCCTTAACACGTAGTGCTCCCAAATCACTGTGAAAGTGACCCCACACAATAACAGAATTCTAAGCTGCCTATTCTCTCTGACTCCACCCACTAATATAGGAAACCTCTCGTGCCATTCATGCAGCCACGTCATTATGCCTTATTCCTTTCCCTTTCTCCTGTAAACCCTCCAAACCTTTGTCTTGGGCCCACTGTCAAGGCCCACCACTTGATCCACCTTTCTATCAACTTCTGCCTCCATAGAAACAACCTTGTCCTCAAGGTAAAAATCTGGAAATTGACCCTGCAACACTGCATTATCTTTCCATGTCACATCCTCCCATGTCTTGTGCCTCCATTTAATGAGACTCTGTTGCACAGTCACTCCTTCCTTCATAGTCACCCTAGAGCCCATGACCTTCTCTGGATACACATCACTCTCATCTGTGAGTTCCAAATCTTTGGGAAGTTCCCCGAGAACCTGATAGTCTCCAACTGCTTTCTTCAATGACGACACATGAAAAACATGGTGGATCCTGGATTGATCAAGCAGTTGCAGCCTATATGCCACTTCTCCAACCTTAGCTACAACTTTAAAAGGCCCATAAAAATGTGCCGATAATTTTTGATTGATCCGTTTAACCACTGAATGCTGTCTGTGAGGTCGTAATTTCAAAAAAACCCATTCACCCACCTGAAAACGCACATCTCTTCTCTTCTTGTTAGCATAGCCCACCATCTGTTCTTGAGCTCTTTATAGATGTGATTTAAGTTGTTTTAGAGCCTCATCTCTCTCATTTAGCTCTAATGCCACCGCAGCCACCTTATTCACATTTGATAAAAACCGCAGAATACTTGGAGGATGCCTTCCATAAACCACTTCAAAAGGAGTTTTCCCAATCGACAAACGATAGGTGGTATTGCACCAAAACTCATCCCAAGAGAGCCAATTTGACCAAGTTTTGGGTTGATCTGAAGCAAAGCATCTCAAATAGCTTTCCAGACATCTATTTATCACTTCTGTTTGCCCATTCGTTTCTGGATGATAGGCAGAACTCATCTGCAATTTAGTTCCCGGAAATTTAAATAATTCCAACCAGAAATGTCTCACAAATAAGGGATCCCTGTCACTGATAACAGAATTTGGAATTCCATGAAGCCTCACTATTTCTTTTACAAACAACTCGGCAATGGACTTAACTGTGTAAGGATGCTTGAGCAATATGAAGTGACTATACTTGGACAACCTGTTCACAACCACAAGTACAGCCACATAACCCTTAGACTTCGGCAAACCCGTAATGAAATCTAGAGAAAGATCCCCCAAATACCATTAGGGTCTTTTACAGACATCACAAGCACGCACAGGTATTTGGGGGATCTTTCTCTAGATTTCAGGCGATCGTATTTGATAAAATCCCTTCCTTGCGGCAAAAAGAGTATGATTTCCCTTCTCCGCCTATCCAAAGATTTAATGCTAAAAGGATGGAGTGGAATGATTGGAGTGTGTTAGGATCTTTTGAACCCTCACAGGTACAGTTTTTGCACTATTTGGTATCATAGAAGGACATAGTATAACATAATTCTATATATTGGACATAGTCTGTTAGAATTCTCCAGCCTAGCCAAATGACCCTATCAACAAAGATAAAACTAACACATTCACTTCATCAATTTTTTTCCTTTCATTTTCCTTGATCTTTGTTTCTTCCCCCGTCTTCATTGTTATCTCCTGCATCTTCAATACAATCACTCATTAGAAAATCTTGTCCTCTTTCAAGTTGTGGTCTTTTACCTAAACAACTTATGTTCCAATGATTGATATATTTTCTATGTTTTTTCTGCTCTTGCCAATCTTTCCCCTTTCCACCACCTCTTGGGTACAATTTCCATTTGTGTCTGTAATGTTTATCCCTGACACGTGCATTAGAATATTGTTTTTTAAACTTATGCGGTTGAAAAAATGCAACCTCATTAAAGTTGATGAGATAAGTTTGTTGTAAGGTTGATTTACAACAAACCCTTTTTTCCAAATCGAAAGTTGAATATTCTTCCTTGTCCGGAAATTGAATATCATCATATGGATTGTAGTTAACCTACAAATGCAACACAATTTTCAATTCCTAAATTAATTAAAGGAAAAACTTCAAATAAAAATATTGGTGTTGTTAAATTACAAGGCTTACCTCTTTAGCAGTTATTTTGTTAATTAAATCCAAATAATCTACCTTTTTACTTTTGTTCAAGGTAAATTGTTCTAAATGACGTGACCAATCACCGATCAACGGAAGTTGTTCATTTACGACATTTAAACTCGATAACTTGAGTAAGACCTTGATGTTTGTCAGATGTAGGAATATAAAGACCTATCAAATCACAATGAAAAGAAGTGACACTTATTTCTCAATTGTTAAAAGGAAATACATTTTTTTAATTGGAGAATGGAAATATAAAATAACTTACCTGCAGGGACAATGCAATCCCGTGCAGATGCTTTATACCCTTTTCTTCAATATTTTTCATAGAACAGTATAGGTGTGCAAGAGCTGCAGCACCCCAGGCATAATCTTTTATTTCTCAAACATTATAAAGCAGTGGAAGATAGAGAGTATCAGCATCACCCTTAGAAGAACTGCTAAATAAGGACGAACCTAGAATATAAAGAGCATATGCTCTAGCATGTCGATCTAGTTCAACTTCAGTTGCATTTGGTGGAACTTCCATAAAATTTTCTCTAAGAACACATAACTTGATAGCTCCTCGAATTACACCTTGTTTTTTAAAGTTCAAATCTTGTCTAAAACATTTGTTGGACCAAAAAATCATGTCATCATCAATCCTAGTGACTGGCTTGCCTGTAATGTGCAAGCCTGTAATTTTGAGCACATCTTTCAAGCCAAAAACTAATTTTGTATCACCAAATTCAAATCCACATGTGTTGGGATTAAAATGGGATACCACATATTCCAGAAGCTGGTTATCATGTTGACATTTTCCAAGTTCGCTTAAACATGGAAAACCGGTATCTTCTAGACGAGTTTTAATTCTTTGGTCTAATGTCCACTTTTGCAATTGTTCCAAGTGCTCAGTGCAAATAAGCATTTTCGAGAAGATGCCCAATTAATAATGTTATATTTTTAGTTACGAATGTTAGAAGTGTGGTAAATCATAGGAGTAAATAAGAAGAGAGAGAGAGAGATTGGAATAGAGAGATTTTTTGTTTGAACTTTTCTCTAACAAGGAACCTTAACGGAATATAAAGTGATTTTCTGTAAATCACCACCCCTTGTCTAGTAGGGGTTATACCCTTAGTAGGGGTTATATATTTACTAGGGATGTGGCAAAATAACCCCTACTATATATAACATAGGGGCATAAACCCTACTAAAAGGAGTTATGACCATTGTAGGGGTTATGTTCATAGTAGGGGTTACATATCTAGTAGGGGTTCTTACCAGACCTATATCAACGAAAGATAACCCCTTCCAAAGTTACAAAATAACCCATTGTAGTGTGGGTTAGCGTGGGTTATTTTGTAACCCCTACTATGAACATAACCTTTACAATGGTCATAGTAGGGGTTTATGACTAGTAAGGAATATGTTCCTAGTAGGGGTTACATGTCTAGTAGGGACCCCTACTAGATATGTAACCCCTACTATGAACATAACCCCGACCATGGTCATAACTCCTTTTAGTAGGGTTTATGCCCCTATGTTATATATAGTAGGGGTTATTTTGCCACATCCTTAGTAAACATATAACCCCTACTAAGGGTATAACCCCTACTAGAATATAACCCCATTAAGCATATAACCCCTACTAACCCTTTTTTTTATTGCCAATATATTATTTTGTTGCAATTCAATCTTTTGAATTATGGTAGGGGTTATATTGGCACGTCCCTAGTAAATATATAACCCCTACTAAGGGTATAACCCCTTCTAGACATATAACCCCATTAAGCAAATAACCCCTACTAACCCATGTTTTTTTATTGCCAATATATTATTTTGTTGAAATTCAATCTTATGAATTATTGTTGATATTAATATATTATTTTGTTGCAATTAAATCTTTTGAATTGTTGTTCATATTGAAATAAATCAATGTCCCTACCTACTAGACATGTAACCCCTACTAGGGACATAACCCCTACTATGTTATATATAGTAGGGGTTATATTGCCACGTCCCTAGTAAACATATAACCCCTAGTAGATATATAACCCCATTAAGCATATAACCCCTACTACTATGAACATAACCCCTACAATGGTTATAACTCCTTCTAGTAGGGTTTATGCCCCTAAGTTATATATAGTAGGGGTTATATTGGCACGTCCCTAGTAAACATATAACCCATACTAATGGTATAACCCCTACTAGACATATAACCCCATTAAGCATATAACCCTACTAACCCCTGCCCCTCTTCCTGACCGGAGTATCTGGCACGGACAGAAGAGCTTCTACGAAGGTATAACCCCCACTAGGGACATAAACCCCTACTTAGTAGGGGTTATATCTCCTACTAGATGTATATCTCCTTCTACGAAGGAGCCTTCTTGCAGCACATCGTCCCCCTGAGGTTCGACAATTCGGACTACCTGTGAAGCTCAGACTGCTGGATAGGCATTGCCCGAACTCCCTTGCCCGAGTCGACTTTTCTCGCTCTTCTTGGACGAACTATTTACTAGTAGGGGTTACATATCTAGTACGAACGAGTTACATGTCTAGTAGGAACCCCTACTATATATGTAACCCCTACTATAAACATAACCTTTATAATGGTCATAGTAGGGGTTTATGACTAGTAAGGAATATGTTCCTAGTAGGGGTTACATGTCTAGTAGGAAGCCCTACTAGATATGTAACCCCTACTTTGAACATAACCCTTATCATGGTCATAACTCCTTTTAGTAGGGTTTATGCCCATATGTTATATATAGTAGGGATTATTTTGCCACATCCCTAGTAAACATATAACCCCTACTAAGGGTGTAACCCCTACTAAGGGTATAACCCCTACTAGAATATAACCCCATTAAGCATATAACCCCTACTAACCCTTTTTTTATTTCCAATATATTATTTTTTTGCAATTCAATCTTTTGAATTATGGTAGGGGTTATATTGGCACGTCCCTAGTAAATATATAACCCCTACTAGACATATAACCCCATTAAGCATATAACCCCTACTAACCCCTTTTTTTATTTGCCAATATATTATTTTGTTGCAATTCAATCTTTTGAATTATTGTTGATATTAATATATTATTTTGTTGCAATTCAATCTTTGGAATTGTTGTTCATATTGAAATAAATCAATGTCCCTACCTGTTGTACCCCAAAATTTGCCCTCGCATTTTTCCACAAGAAATCTCAGCTTCAGGCATTTCCTGATTTTTCAAACTGGCTCAAGAATCGGACAAACAGACTTTTCTCGTCAGTCAGACAAAATTAGGGTTTTTACTGATTTTCAGGGCTCTGGATTGTTTCACACAGTTGGCTTAGGGTTTTGGTTGATTTTGGCTCAATTTTGATCAGGCGAATGTTCGTTGGCATTTAATCAGGAATTAAGATTTTATGGGTATATTCTCAGAAGGTTAAAATTCCACAGTACTTTGCAATTTATTCCGAGATTCGGGTTAAATTCTCATTGTTTTGATTTAATCAGTAAAAGAGACAGTTGGTTTGAATTCACGTTGGTTTGTTTGAGCCAGTCAAAAGAAATATGCAGTATTGAATCTACAGTGCCTGGCAAAGAATCAGTGAAAAGAGGAATGCGCTTGATCAGTTTATTTTGGTTAACTGCTGTTTTGCTTTGGGTATTGGAAAAGACAGGTTTAATTGATCAATATTACTAAGACATTGTTTTATTTAAGTTATTTATTATTCTAAATTGAGTGATTGAAATTTATTTTTCAATTGTTTTAATTCAAAGAATTTTAAATAAATAAATAAACAATAAAGGGAAAATAGAATTAAATTGGATAATGGAAACTTTTATTTATCTTTAAATTAAATGTACAATTGATGTTTGGAATTTAAATTACAAACATTGGTCTTACATTGATTTAAATTTAAATAAAAAGAAAACTATCCTATTTATTTCTAATTCTCCATTCTTCACTTCGCTCCGGTGCTCCATTATTCATCTGCAAAAAGAAAAGGAAAAGTCAAAAGCAGTTGAATTAATTAAAGACAGGTAAAATTTGCAGTCATCATTAAGGGCCACTGACTGGGATCAGTTGACCCTCTCTGCAAATCACGGGATTTCTCCCGGTTCACAAAGAGGGAAGAATTTTATCATGAATAAAAAATGTCAAAATGCATAATTTTAAAATGTCAAACTGCATAGTTCAAAAGTAAGTTCAAACCAACTAAAACCCAAACTCCCACTTTCTATCAAAAGCCAAAGGTACAAACTTACTGTCAAAATATCAAGAAATCTACCCAAGTTGTCAAAAGCAGATTTGGCAAAGATATGGAAAATAAAAGTCTACTCAAAAGCTGTCAAAGAAAGATAAAGATGCAGAGGAAATCCTATATGCAAGCAACTTTTCTTTTATCATCATTTCCCATCAGTGGCCCCTTCAGAAAGTACAGTAAAAAAAAACATTTAAATTTCTTTAAACTGTACTAAGAGAGTCAGGAGAAGAGAGATAAGAGGCAGGGTTCAGGCTTTATGCTTAGGCAGAAAAGAGAAGAAAAAAATATACAAAGACTCCCCACTGCATAGAAACAGAGAGAGATAAAAAACTGCCAAGCTGAAGGCCCTCAACAAAAAAAATATACATAGCATACTGCTAAACAAGCCTAAAACCGGCAGAGCATTTTAAAACCTGCATTGACTCAAATCTGCACAAGACCTGCTAAGCCATAACCTCCATACTAAAATCTGCTACCAAGTCCTGGCCTGAAGCAAGCCAAACAAGGGCCTGATAAACCAAGTTCAAGCCTGAAGCTTACCTGCTGTCAAAACCTCACCATACCTGCTAAAACCATTTACCAACCAAGCATACTCGCCTGAGACCTCACAAACCCAAACCTGTGAAACCTCAAAACCCACATACTGTCAAAACACATAAACATACAAACCTGTCACAAACACATAACCTAAAAAGCCTAACAAGTACAAAATTGCCTGAAACCATACATCAAAAACCCTCAAGAAGTAAAACCTGCATAAGCCTTGGCCTGAGTTAACCTGCACCAGCATAAAACCTGCTGCCTGCATTAGCCTGAACCTAAAATGAGCCATACCAATGTACAAACCTGATGAACCCCTGTCTAAACATAAAACCTGCTGAAGCAAAACCTGGTCTATCCATATAAAACTAGCCAAACAAAGTCCAAGCCTCAAAGACAATTCTTCCTGAAGCAAACTCAGGCCTCAGAATCTCTTCATCATAGGCCACAAACATTCAAAGGCAAAGTGGGCAATAGAGAAGAGGAAAGAAGTGGCCTCAGAAATCTTCATCACAGGCCAAAATGCAATAGGCAACAGAAACACATTTCAACAGGCATCAAACAAGGCGTCAATCCCAGCATATTCAAACATATTCAAAGGCAACACTCAACTCAACATAATCAACATAAGCATTCAAAACATACTGATACCAAGGCATCCAAAAGCGCGTGTACAAGGCCCTCAGACCTCTGAGATCATCATAGGGCAACATAAGCGAGCATACGACCAACTTTCGAGGCCACAAATCAGAAGAAAGTCAGGAAAGCATCCAAGGGCAACATAAACAAGCGTACAGTGGCAAAAAGGAGAAGAAGAGAGGAAGAAAGAGGTAAATCTAAGAGAAAGGTTTTTCAGTTCAAAATCATCATCAAAACCTAAAAAAAATGGCAAAAAGGTAAAAGTACCAAATTTTCCCAAGATAGCTTCCAGCTTCATCACCGAACCTCCGCCATCGGGCCTCCTGAGCGCCACATCCCCTGTCTCTCCTCCTTCTCCAAGGTCAGGTAGTACAATCTTCTCCCTCTCTTTTCTCCTTCACCTCATAATAATAAAAGATTAAGGTTAAGATTCAAACTGAAATGAAGCACGCGATTCGTAAAAAAAGAACAAAAACATTGAAATCAA